ACTCTTTCCTTACCATTTCAAAATACCTTCTCCACATCTACCTTTTTATAGGTAAACTTTATCATAAAATGAAACACAACCATCTTATCCAAAGTAATTCCAGAATTCAGTTTTTCCCAGCATTTTCTTTTAACAACTGTGTGTGTGCACACGCACACAGGCAGGCACATGCATACAGGTCAACCTTAGTTAACACATTTTACCTTTAAATTTTGAATATCAATTTTAGATGTTTAATAAAATATGTCAGTAATATGATTTACATATTAGTGATTCCCATTAAACAAAAGGCCATTACTTCAGATTGCAGAGTGCTGTGTCACAAATGATACCTATATATGTGTTTAGGTAGGTGCTTATTACATATGTGTGTGTACATTTATAGGAACATGCAGAAAGAGGTGGAAGAACGTTAACTTTGTTTATTTGAGAGAGTACAGTAGAAAGAGTGAGTGAGTGGGAGATGGAAAATAAGTCATTGCTTATATCAGTTACAAGAGAAAATCCTTACTCTTTCTATCAAAGTTTGATATCAGCTAGGAGGGTCTGAAAATGTTTAAATTAATAATCAGGTAGTAAAATTATTCAGAAAAAAACAGATACATCACTTTTGATGTTAGAAATATCAGGAAGTTCATATTTTCTCAGTGACTACATTGTTGAAGAAAAGAAAATGAGTTTTTGAAAATCTTTAGTATTATGTATAAATGCAAATATATCTACACTTTCAAGCTTTAAGAGAAGAAATATCTCCAGCCTCTCTTCCCAACGTAATGTGCATATTTGGTGCTGAGATATTTACGAATACTACAGAAAGAAGTATTTTTAAAAAATGACAGGGCTTCCCTGGTGGTGCAGTGGTTGAGAGTCCACCTGCCGATGCAGGGGACACGGGTTCGTGCCCCGGTCTGGGAAGATCCCACGTGCCACCGAGCGGCTGGGCCCATGAGGCATGACCACTGAGCCTGCGCGTCCGGAGCCTGTGCTCCGCAACGGGAGAGGCCGCAACAGTGAGAGGCCCGCGTACGGAAAAAAAAATAAAATAAAATAACAGATGAGTTAAGGCCATATCTCATTTTAACAATAGCCATGTTATTTATTTCCCACTTTTCTTTCCTCTTCTGAAAGCCTTACCTTGTATATACTGACAAAAGAGCCCAGAAAAGCTCCGAGCTGGAAGTTTTCTTTATTGTAGAAGAGAGAAAGTAGCCGGGATGGCTGTGTAAACAGATGCCTAAATGCAGAGGGAATCCGGAGGCAGCACTGGATCAAGTATCCCACGCTAAACATTCTGATAAAACCCTAGAGAAAATTGGGAGGAAATTCTGATTTACAACCAAATCTTGAAGACCGATAGATACAAATTTTATTGTCGCAGAATCAAAACGGAACTAAAAATATTAAGACAAGTTTATATCGCAGCCATTTTCAAAATTAAGTCCTAAACCTCAAACAATTTTAAAACAATTGCCTTAAAAATAAGCGTGAAATCTTGCAGCAAACATACTTTCTATGATTTACAAAGGCTTAAAAAGTCTCCCAAGCACTGGCCAAGTCTATCTATGTACCAAACTTCTACTTCTTGACATTTTGTTGACATAACTGGGATTTATAATCCCTAAACCACAAATAGTTTTAGAAACAAAAGCACTGCAATTCCAAAAAAAATAGTTAACAAAACCAAATGCTTTGGGAAATTTTAACAGAAAATGCCTCTTAATCATTAGTTTGAGCAGAGATTCTTTTGACAGAAAATAATTGTATTATCTGTTTAGACCTTTGGTGTCAACTATTTAAACGATCAAGTTTAAAGAATTTTCCAGGAAAAGAAATAATTCTATCTAGGTTTTTACTTCTGTGCTCAATGTGTCAAGCTGAAACATCTCTAGGGAATGGCAGCTTTAAGGTAAACTAAACAAAACCCGAGAAAGCAAATTTGCCACAAATCCACATTTGCTGTCAACATTTCTCCATATTACCTGCAACAATCTACAGTGTAAAAGGGAGGAAAGGATGACTAATGTTGGTCAATTTCATTTCACTCTTTAGGAAAATGAAGTTTGATGTCACTTAATGGTGAGAGACTGAAAAATTCCAGTCATCTCGAAACAAAATGTTATCAAAAAGAATAGTATTTTATACATGATTCAGCCAATACACTGTAATACTGATCTCCCACCATCCTCCTCTTTCACCCCCACTGGAATGGAAAAACGTCTACATTCTTAGCAGTGTTTGCCGCTAAGTTTCAAAGGCCAGGTTTGTATCTTCTGGATAGCAGCCTTCTTTTTTTTTAAAAAAAAATTGAGTTACTATGAAGAAACATTCATTAATTTACCTGAAACTACCTAATACCTGGTTAAAACATGAAAATTAAATTGTCCAAACAATTAGCATGAATTATCATACATTTGCTTAACTGAAACTGCCTAGTGTTTGTTTAATGCATGAGGTGGTCACACCTGTATCTTGTCACTGATAATATCGTAATATTAACCTAATGGTTCAAAGATCACACTCATGTTCAATCATTTCACACTATTTCCAAGAGATCTATTCATCCTTCCATCCATTCACCCTTTCACGTATTCAGGAAAGATTCAGTGAATGCCTCTCACGTGCCAATCATCACATGAGATGCTGGGGATAGAGTAGCGAAGAGGACACAAAGCTCTTGCCTTCATGGAGCTTCCATGCTCATTAGAGGAAGAGAAAATCAGTCAACAAATAAACATAAAGTAATTACAGATTACAATAAGTGCTGAGAAGGAAGTAATCAGGGTACTGGGAAAGAAATTAACAAGGCATCCTATATTAGACTGAGTGGTAAGGGAAGGCTACTGAGGATGTGACGTTTAAATAGACACAAAAGAGAAGGAGCTGGCATGAGAAAAACATTTCGGGTAGCTTGGACAAAAAGCACAAAGCCAAAAAAGAGATTGGCAGGTATCAACAAAAAGTTCGTGTGAATGGAGTATAGTGAGTTGGGGGGAATGTTAATTCATCTGAATATTCACTCAGGGGTATGATTTAACATGAGGTGTAACTGAATCCATGGAATAATGAGGTGCACTGTCAAAATATTTTGCTATACTTGTGATATAAATTCCTCACCCACAAATCTCCAAATAATTCTACATTCCTGGACATAATATTACAATGTATACATAAATTAGCAAGTTTATAGTACTGGTACACGCTTGAAAGAATGACTACATTTTTTCATAGCTCAGTAATTCTCACTAACTTTCTCGTATACTTTTTAAAAACTATCACCTCTCCTCTCCCCCAGATTTCTCAAATACCTCTAATTTAGTCAAAATGCTTTTCTTAGTTCCCCTCCTGAAGTTTCCCCTTGGACTAGAATTATGTCCAGTTGGAGGGAATAATACCCCTCTCTGGGAGCCGGTAGACTTTGAGGCAGCCGGCAACATTCTTTTTTTTTTTTTTTTTTTTTTTTTTTTTTTTTTTTTTTTTTTTTTTTTTGCCACTTTAAAAATGGGGCAGGAAATCAGATTTGGAAAGTGTGTCAGAAACTACTTCACAACTGAAAAAATACTCTACTGCTTTTACCCCTGGCTCTGTCTTTAAAGTACTTTAAAGGTAAGTGTTGGCTTGGGTGCGTGCCACCAACAACACGCGGCCACAGGCATTCACATTCATAGGCACTAATGTGATACAGTCCCTCCCTTTCTAGAGGGACGTCAGGAGGCTGTCTTTTGGGGTGCTGTACAACTCTGTTCTTCTCATCATCAATAAAGTGGGGATCAGATGTTGTAAGAAAGAACATAAATTTCTAAAGCATCAGGATTGTTAGAGCACCATCCAAAACTAAAGAACTTGTAGCAGATGGTGCCACCTGTGACAGACTAACTGCAATGAAAATTAACTTCCTTCTCAGAGTTGGTGGGATGGGGGATGGGGGCGGTGGCAGGCATGGGATGGGGGATGGGGAGGGAGCACGGCCCTGGTACACTAATATATTAGGGAGTGGGGAATTTATGTCAGTGGGCATAACTAACTTTCTTAATGTAGAACAACTGTGGACATGCTCCAGTTACCGTCATGCCTTAAAAAATGTAACAGCTTTACAAGTCCAAAACCAAATGCCACTGTCCCAGATTGTGCGGTGTATGTGAGTGACTGCTGATCCCCTAGCACACAGCACAGTCCAGGGGCCTTGTTCTAAGATGTATTCTAATGAGGATACATTGCAGAGTACAAATTTTAATTTTAATTTGACTTTTTCTCTTTTTTGTTGTTGTTGCTTCACCTTCTACTTTGTAAGTTTTACATTTATTAAGTAAGCTAATGTAAAAATTATTTAACAAAGGATCTGGTAAGTGAATACTAAAAGCTAAATTCTTATCTATTTCTCACAAGTGTCTTATTCGTCAAGTCAAATGCAAAGAATGATAGCAATGATTGTCAACTTTTCCACTTACTTTGAAATTATGTTTTAATAAGTAAGTTTTTTCTATACATATTCCCTGTGGTTATTAAAGTAGATTTTATATACTTACTTTAACGCAATAAGAGATGCAATTATCCTCATAGTGTTTGCAACATCTATGCCTTGGTCCATGCTTACATCTGAAATTAAACCAGAAAAACTAATATAATTAAAATGTGTGTGTGTGCGTGCGTGTGCGTGTGTGTGTGCGTTGATCTGCTTAAAACTCTCTAACCAAAAAAGGAGAAAACATTATCAACTCGTTTCTAAATGTGTGCATCTTTTGATTTCTTAGGACATACAGAAGCAAAGATAACAGATTTTTTTCCCCTTTGCTGCGCACCATTTGACACACTATAAAATACGTGGCTGCAGTCAAAATACTTGAATGTGGAACAGAAAAGCCATATTGGTAAATATTTGTGACTAAATATGAAAAATATGTATATGTTATCTCTATACTCTGCCAAATCTTTTGGAAGCTTTAAATCGTTTATTGTAGCATATAATGGTCATAAATCATCCATGACGTCAGTACTTGAGCAAAAATCATAATGAGAATGTGCTCAGGTTACAGGAATTTATACTTAATTATATTTGAGAGAAAACATCTGGGAAAGAAACATGATATAGTATTAGAATTTAAAATTCAGTTTTTAAAATAAATATAGAAATAGAACATGCAGGAATTCAAAAAGTAGGTTGTGATTTAACTGTAAACAACTTAGTCTTCCAGTGTTTAATAAACATTTCTGCTGGGAGGACTACTATTCAAGACACACTTATTTTAGTTATTTGGTATGTCTACTCCAGGACTATTTATTCACTCCAGGCATAAAAAAGTAAGTAGAATATCTAATATGGGTTTAACTCTCCCCCTTTCTCTTTGAAGAGCTCATGTTCCAAAATAAGCAGTCTTTATAACTCTTTCAGAATACAATTAATTAATTATCTTCATGGTTGGAACACATTAACTCTTTCTTGTTTATGATAATAACTTGCAGAGTGATATCCTAGCTCTCTAATTCCATTTGCAAATTGATTATAAAGACCTTCTCCGAAATTCAATGCTGCACTGCAGCTGGAGTATACAGGCAGCCTTTCCTAGTCAAGGGTGACAGCAATACTTCATTCCTTATGTGGTTAGAATGATATGACATATCTGGTCATGCGAAGTTGTTGAGTGATTAAAGCTAGGGGCCTGAAAAGGGGTGAATCAGAGAAGGACTGCCTTATGTAAACCATCACTCTTCATACTTCTAAGTGTCCTCTTCAAAGACATCTCTCAGCCATGGCTACCAGAACTACACAGAAATTGTTAAACTCTCTTTGCTAGTGAAGTTAAATTCTGTTATCAACTACACTGTCATTTAATCCTTCCTAGTCTTTTATTAAAATGGCTTCCCAAGTGCTGGACTGCCAGTCTCCTATGTCATCTGCTCTGCTTCTATATTATCCTGCACCTGCTTTCACACCAATGGACCCACTGAGGCTACTCTGACAAGTTCTGCCATGGCCCGATCAGCTCTGATACCCAAGGCTTCATTCACCCCCGTCACACATTCTCTGCATTCCCCTATGATTCTTGTTGACATGATTCCCATTAACAGGATCCCCTACATCACACATTCCCTGCATTCCCCTATGATTCTTGTTGACATGATTCCCATTAATGGGATCCCCTACCACAATTATTACTGCCATCTACCACCCCTTTCTTTCCTTTTACCTTCTTCTGTGGTGTACAGAAGAAGAGACAAAGTCTTTAAATTCAGTAAAAGTTCTGAGTACCTACTCTGTGCTCGTGTATGTGAAGCAAACTCCTATGTTATTTCATTTAATGCACGCGACACTCCTTAATAAAGTTAACTGATGAGGACTTTGGGATGCAGAGTAGTTAAATCACTTGTTCAAAGTCCCAAAACCAGGAGGGGCAAAATGAGTCAAACACAGGTCTTCAGATTTCTTTAAGGGCGTCAGCTTCCTGTAGTTGGTCCCCTAACTTTCTATACTGCCTCCTCATTCTACACTCTCTAAAATAGCACTACAAGATTATTTTTATTGGCTGGTATTCTAATTTTAAACCTTTTAATTTATTTTCTTAAATATCTTAAATATTTGAAATGCAAAAAAGACTTATTTGTATGAAATAGACTTCTCTGTATAAAATACAAATAAAGATTTATTTTATTTCCAAAGCCCTAAAAATTTCCACTCTTGCAAAATATCCTTCACTTAAACTTTGCTCCTTATTATATCTACATCTTCTTAAATCTCTCTTGGAATTTTTCTTTCTCCTTTCCACACTTGAAACATTCGATTAGCACATATGAATCTGTTTCCTGAAGTTCCCTATTCTAGCCCCCTGCAACTCTGCTTAGTTTGAAATAGAAAAGTATTTCGATTTCATGTAAAACGATTTTAAAGGCAGATAATGGTCTATAGTCCTGCTAGAAATAATAAACAACATTCACTTGCCATCGTGTGCCTTTTTATAAAACTCTATGCACAGTTTCTGGTTAAAAAAAAAAAAAAAAAATTATTACCTGAAAAGAAAACAAAAATACCTTGGCATGGTACAAATGTTATATAAAATGGTGACAAAATGTGCTAAAATATCAAGATAAAGAACTCACACTGAATCCACAAGCTTCCTGACTAGAGCAATTATATTCTTTCCTCTTGGTTTTTCCTCATGTTTCTCAGTCTTTTGTTCCACTTTTGCATATGCCGCCTCTGGTGAATAAGAATGTGTGGGAATTTCTTCCTTCCCAACAATGAACCTAAAGAAAAGAGCACAATGAGAGGCATTTTTCCCCTTAAAAAAAAAAAAATCAGTGAGAAAATAAACTGATTTTGTTTATATACAAATACACTGTGGACAGTACCTTATCATTTGAAATAATATTTTCCACAATTTATATAGAACTAGTCATCCTTTAAAAAATAGGCTTTTGAAATCTGAATACTCAGAAAATGTTAATAGCTGTTTATTTAACAGTGCAAGCATCTTAAAATCAAATACAGCATAGCTCTTTGATGAAACACCCTTTTAACTTAAGTCACCGCTTTTTTAAGGTATTACACAACTTAAAAGTTTTTTCAAACAAAAAGGCAGATGAACTATTAACTTGGATCTACTAGTTAATGACAAAATTGCTATTATTTTCTCTAAAATGCACTAACAGTTACAAGTGAATGCATTTCTCATTTTTTTTACTCTAAATTTACATCTAACGTCACTTTAAGTCATAAAACAGCTGCAGTACAGTATAGGTGGTCATCTATAAGCACATGAGAAATAGAGGGAACTAAAGAATGAGAATCAGAAAGTGGTTAAGAGTCTGTGTGTCTTCCCCACATTATTAGAAAATCTTAAATTTGATATTATTCTAATCTACTTACTTCTCTTTGGAAAAATCTAATATCCAGGAGAAGACACCATTCCTGTATCATCAAAACTGGACTATATTTTTCCAAAGACAATACAAAGAAAACATTGCCAACCATTAGATATCACTCAATCAGTATCCTTTACCAGAGTTTTCATTTTTGCTGTTTTCACCTTCACTATAAGAGTCACTGCCCTTATAAAGTATAACTAAGCTTTCCTTAGCCAATTCTGCCTGCTGAA